CCGTAGCGTTAGCGTAGCTCACAGCAACCTCAAACTCCTGGGCTCAAGCGATCCTCCTGCCTCAGCCTCCCGAGTCGCTGGGACTATAGGCATGCGCCACCACGTCCGGCTAATTTTTTCTATATATTCTTAGTTGTCCAGCTAATTTCTTTCTATTTTTAGTAGAGACGGGATCTCGCTCTTGCTCAGGCTGGTCTCGAACTCCTGAGCTCAAACAGTCCACCCGCCTCAGCCTCCCAGAGTGCTAGGATTATAAGCGTGAGCCACCGCGCCCGGCCCAAAACTCTTACCTTTAAAACATACTTTTTTATTTTTTAAATTTCTGAAAGTTATTTTAAAAAATACTATTACCTTTATATCTATATACATGATAAAATGTTCTTTGAAATTACATATATGCAATAAGACAACAAAACAACCCTGCTGTACTTTATGTTTGCAACAAAGGCAGTAAAAAAAAAATGTGAACATCATAGTTGTAAGTACTCATTTTAAAGAATTTTCATAATTCAGCCAATTTGTAAAGGTTAGATACTTCCAGAATCAAAGAACAATACTGCAATTAACTAACTTTCTGGAAAGACAAACAAAACAAAACTATTCCTTGTATTTTTTTCTTCAGATTTTCTTATGGGCATTATAAGAAAAATGGGCAAAAGACTTGAGCACTTCTTGAAAGATGCCATCCAAATGGCCAATAAACATTGACCAGTTTGTTGTTACAATTTGCGGTTCTTTGATTATAACTAAACATTTCTTTCTGTACCTTTATTGACTCTCATGAATTATCTATTTGTGTTTCTTGTCCATTTATGTTTTGTGGTGTTAAAGGTGTTCTTATCAAATGATGAGATTTTAAATTTATTTCTAATTGTACAAGTAATACATAGCACATTGTTATGAAAACATTATAATTACAGTTGTCGCTGATGTCTCCCTTGGTCATCACTCTTAATCCTAGGCCCTTACTTAGTTCAGCGCTCACCAGAGACAATCGTTGTTACTCGTTTGATGTGTAGCCCTGTAAACCTTTGTGTGTGTGTGTGTGTGTGTGTGTGTGTGTGTGTGTGTGTGTTGTAATAAAACTGTATCATACCATTGTTCTACAGGAGCTCTTTTTTTTTTTTTCTTTTTAATTTTTTTTTATGGAATATATTGAGTATTGATGGAGCCCCTTTTTTCTTTTTTTTTTTTTTTTTTTTTGAGACAAGAGTCTCACTGTGTTGCCTGGGCTACAGTGCTGTGGTGTTGGCCTAGCTCACAGCAACCTCAAACTCCCGGGCTCAAGCTCCTGCCTCAGCCTCCCAAGTAGGTGGGACTACAGACACATGCCACCATGCCTGGCTAATTTTTTCTATTTTTAGTGGAGACAGGTCTCGTGCTTGCTCAGGCTGGTCTCCAGTTCCTGACCTCAGGCAATCCTCCTGCCTCGGCCTCCCAGAGTGCCAGGATTACAGGCGCGAGCCTGTGGAGCTCTTTTTATGTCAATACGGATATATTCTATTTAATTGCTGGATAGCGTTCTATACTATGCATATATAGAGTTTATTTAACTCTTCTCCTATCGAAGGACATTTGAGTAGCTTTATTTGTTTGCATTTACAAACAGTGCTTCAGTCAGCATCCTTTCACATGGACTCTAAGTCTTCCCTAATGTAGTTATTGAGTAGAATTTCTAGGCCGTAGGAAGTGAATGTACTTTTATTTTAATGGATATTGCCTAGTTTCCTTCTAAGGTAGTTCCTTCCAACTTACACTCGTAGCAGCAGTATATGAGTACCTGTTTCTCTCCCCCTTTATCAATAATTGGTACTATCAAACTCTTTTAAGTTTTCTCCTATTTAATAACAGGTTTCAGTTAGCATTTATCTGATTACTAGTGAAGTTGAGGAGTTTTTCATGTTTTTTGGTTGTCTTTCTGCTCTCTGCAAATTGCCTGTTTATATGCTCTGCACTTTTACATGAGGCTTCATTGTGTTTTTCTATATTGATATGTAGTTCTTTATAAGTCGTATGCAGTTATCTTCGTTTAATATGTTGTATGCATTTTTCCATATGTGAACTCTTTATATACCAAAACATAATCCTTTGTCATTTTTGTTGCATATTTTTCCACATCTGCATGTCTTTTACTTGTTTCTTCTTTTTTTCTGTTCAATTTCTACCATAATTGGCATTGTTTTTTTTCCTTAAATGTTTGACACATTTACCAGTGGAGCCATCTGGGCCTAAAATACTCTTTGTTGGAAAGTTTCCAATTATAGTTTCAATTTCTTTTAATAGTGTACAGAACTATTCATATTTTGTACTTATTTTTGTGCCAGTATTGGTAAGTTCTGTTCTCTAGGAATCTGTTCATTCATCTAAATTTTCAAAGTTATTAGCAGAAATGTAGTGATATCCTTTTACTATCCTTTAAATGTTTGTAGGATTTGTAGTGATGTCCTGTTTTTCATTTTTTATATCATTAATATTGATTCTTTTTCTCCTTTTTTTATTAGTTACTCTTACCAGGGGTATCAGTTTTATTAATCTTTTTCAAAGAACTAGGTTTTACTAATCCTCTCCAATGAATGTTGATCTCCCTTCATTCTTGAAAAATATTTTCACTGGGTATAGAATTCTGCCTGGGTAGTTGTTTTCTTTCAGCTCTTTGAAGGTAGCATTCCATTGTTTTTTGGCTTCCATTTTTCTCTTGCAGTCAGCTCTGTTTGAAAGTAATTGTCTTTTCTGTGGATGATCTGAATCTTTTCTTTGTCCTTGATTTTCTACAATTTGAGTAAGATACGTCTAGCTATAATTTTCTGCCTTTTTTATTAGGATTATGAGTTTTCATTTGGTGTCTGTTTTGCATATAGAAATTGTAAGTGATTACCTAATGGAATCTGTTTTTCCTTTGGCAATTTCTTTTCTTTATTGTAGATAGAGAAGACCTTGCCATTTTCTGTTCCCAAATGTTGAAAAATTCTGTTCTGGGTTTTCCATGGAATCAGTTTTGGAGATCTAAATCATTTTTAGTGTTGTATCTCCAAATTGATAATCAATTATTCTAGCAAAATTTATAAAATAACCTCTTAATTAGGTCATTTATTTTTAAATGCTTTTTTTGTATGTGTGTTAAATTTTTATATGTATTAGTAGAGACTCTTCCAGGAGCAGCTGTTTGATGTCAGTAGCTGCTTCTATTTGAAAGGAGTGTGCTTTAATCAGATGTTATTTAATCTATGTTCCTCTCCACTTTTCCAGGGCAGCACCCGTGCTTTTCGTGTAAGGTATCTGGTAAAGACGTGAAGCGTTGTTCTGTTGGCGCTTGTGGGAAGTTCTATCACGAAGCCTGTGTCCGCAAATTCCCCACTGCCGTCTTCGAATCGAAAGGATTCCGCTGTCCGCAGCACTGCTGCTCTGCCTGCTCTATGGAGAAAGATATCCACAAAGCAAGTAAAGGTAAAACAGCTAAAGAAGGGGACAAAGCGTTTTTTGTTTGTTGGTTTTGTTTTTAAAGTGCAGTGGCAAGTAATATTTTAAGCACATTATTATAAACAACATTCTTCGTCTGTTTATGTTTAACAGTTCAGCCACAATAAATAGCATGTCAGGTAGGGATTAAGTTCTAATTCAGACCATGAGAAGAAAATTTCATGTGTTCAAAATTATCCTTGAAAAATCCTTAGACCATATTGGATAATAGCATCGTCTCTCCAGCGTTGGAACAGACAATTTTTTCTTCGAATGATCTCTAAATGAATATTAGGCTTGTATTTAGAGGCCATATAGCATAGCAATGACAGAGCCAAACTAGTGAAGAAAAAATGTTTTTATTTAACTAGCATCACACAGGAACCCAAAAAAGCCCAACTCCAAAAATCTCATATCTAACTGATGAGTTGTTAGATAGATTCCTTTTTAACTTGTTTTTAAACAGGCCGCATGATGAGATGTTTGAGATGTCCGGTCGCCTATCACTCTGGGGATGCTTGCATTGCAGCCGGAAGCATATTCGTGTCCTCCTACCTTCTCATCTGTAGTAATCATTCCAAACGGAGCAGTAATTCTGCTGCTGCTGTAAACGTAGGCTTTTGTTTCGTTTGTGCCAGAGGTGAGTGTCAACCTTTTCTCTTTCTTTTTGAGGTCATTGGCATATTTCCCCATTAAAATAGAGTCTCAGCATTGGGAGAGAACTCACCATCCAGCACAGAATTCCATTTTATTATATCCCTGAGAGAGATGAGCATTTCCAGTAACTAGTCCCTTTTACAATGCTAGATGTCCAGATTGTTAGAATATTAATTCTTCTATAAGTTAACCTAAAACCTGCATTTCTAAAAAAAAAACTTAGAATTGTAGTTAAATTCTTAGTTTTTGTATTTAGAGCATCAAAAGGTTAATCTGTTCCCTTCTGCAAACAATTCTTCTGTTGCAAGTAGATCCTTCCCACGTCATATTCTTTAATCCAGAACTTTCAACTGATTGAGATTTCACTTGGAAGGCAAGACTAGCACATTTATTTTTCAATTGTTGATGCCGTATTTTATCATCATGTTTTGGTCTGGCACTGAGGAAGGCCTGATGGGACACAGCCAAGCAACATATGTGGTGGTGTTAGTCAGAGCCAGCGGGGCAGGCGTTCTCACCCGCCAGCTGCTGATGTTCAGTACGCCAAGAGATTGATCAACTAAAAACAGTTCCGTGTCCCTGAGGGGATCAGTGAACTGGAGTTTGTGATAAATATATTGGAACTTCTTTAGTTGAATATGATACAGAATATCCAGCTTTATTTCAGCTGTAGTATAATAAAACTTTGTTTTGGTACTTAGTAAACATTATAGAAACCAACTCATATCCCCAAATACTGTTCTTGTTTTGTTTTTAATGTAAGTGCTAAGTTTTCTGAACTTCCCTCAGTATGAAATATTCAAAAGGACTCTAAGGCCCATCAGGCCTCTTGGATTATATTTGTACTGTAGAAAGTGGTTTGTTTTTGTTTGTTAGTTTTTGCTTTAGAAGACAGTTCTTTTAATTTGGTGAAAGTACTACAAAAATATTTTTTTTAGTAGAGTTTAGGTAGTAGGATAGATCTTAAGTGGTTCTGCTTTTGTTTCATTTCTAAAGAGCAACTTGGAGGAGGTAGGCAGTAAAAGAGTAAGTAACTGGGACTCCTTTGTGGCGGAGCCAGCTGGGTCCATAGTACACGCTCTTTCCATTTGCCTGAGTTTTATAAGCGAGCAGGGCTGCCTGCCATTAGAGCGGGAAGCATCGCGTCTTTCCTGACTAGAGCAATTACGACTGTATCCTGCTCTGAAACCTGGCCGGTACCCAGGGAGTAGGTCTAGAATGTTCCGTACCACCTCGTAGCAGGTGATAGAATTCAAATAGGCAAATAATAAAAGCTGTCTCTAGTGCCTTTCCCATCCCCCATCCTCGGGCAGTAATGATAGGAAGGAGTTGCTGCATTAGCTTAGCTTCAGAGACTTTTAAACAGAGGAGTGGAAGCGATAACAAAGTCTCTTAGTGCTTTGTAAACTTTCTCTATTCTGCCATTCCTAGGCACTTGCATTTACTGTCAGTGTATAAGCATCCATAACTTAGCCAGCATTTTAAATACCAACTTTATAACTCTTATGTTGGCTGACTTTGAAGTACATTCTGAATGAGTATATTAATTGATACGTTCTTTTGCTTTATTTCATTCAATAATTGGGAGACCTTTAAAATAGTCATTTTCAACTTAGGACAGGTAGAAAATGGTCCACTTGTAGCAACTCCAACCATTGTGTTAAATTTAACTTCTATGACTTGATTAAAAGCTTGAGAATAACATAAATGGAGGTAAAACCCATGTTTTAACAGAATTTACATTTATGTCTTATAAATTTGGCAATTATTCTGGAAGATTTACTGTATTTAATCACCTATTTAAGCAAGATTATTTAATTCCCAAATATTTTAACTGTGAAACTTTGTACAGCAAACAGAAACCTTCATTTTTTTTTCCAGCATTTGACAAAGAATAATTCTAAATAGATCAGATGTTGGGATTTGAGAAGGCTTAAAAGTCTTTTAGAAGTAAATAATGTATGTTATTTTATAAGTATTTATAGACATCACCCTTTTTTAGGAGACCTAACTATAATAAAGCCACACACAGAAAGGGACACTGTAATCATTTATGTTTTGGTATTAGAAAACTTAGCTTGTTTTGCTTGTTTCTTGCCGCATACAGAAATTGTCCCTCCACTTGGAAGGTTTTTCTCTCAGTTCTTGGTTATTGCGTGTTCACAATCATTAAGCTAATTCTTAAGGACTGGAAGGTCTAAAACTATTTTTAGAAATGTTTCAAGGTTTAGAGGAGCTTTGCATCTTCTCCACCCCCAGCTAACTCCTGGTGCCATAGGAGATGTTCAGACATTTTTCAGTGTCTTATATATTCTTTAGCATTTCCTTCCATCTTGGGGGGTTGTGTAAAATAAGTTACTTAATATTCTGTGATTTTCTTCGTAATGGTAATTTAAAATGGATAAGGTAGGCTAGGGTTTTCTTTTCATTTTAATGTAATTTGTTTTGCATTTGTAAATCGAACTCTGCTAAACACTATCTGAATTAATTACCATGATTGTCCTAAGAAGTTATTTCCCCCATTTTATACAGATGAGACACTGAAGCCCAGATTACATAATCTGCCCCATGTCACACGTGTTACATGGAGGGAGGGAGCAGCGTTTGTACCTGATCTTTCTTATTTCAAAGCCCATATTTTTCTATACTACACTGCCTCCCTCTATTAAATGTACGAAATTCATTTCAATAGTATATAACTTTTACTAAAGATTCTTACGTTATTAGCAATTTCAAGTTCCATGGTGTCATTTGGGTCAGAGATAGTTCTAAATTCTTCTCAGTGTAGGGTAACATCAAATGAAAATAACACCCACAGAAAATAAGTAAGGGCTAGCTTCCCTCCCTTCAAAATGATCTCTAAATGAAACGGCTGTTGTGATTTGTTAAATCCTAGATTATTATACACTGACCAGCAACCAAGATAGAGAGATTTCTCCTGGTCTCACAGTTCCCTAGGTGTAGGAGTGGCTTAGAGCTCCATCATGAACTTAACTGGGGGAAGAGGGGAGGGAAGGAGAAGAGAGAGTCACAGGTAGGTGAGAGCAGATCTTGTGTTTTTGTCTAAATAGGATAGCTAATATTGGTAGATCAAAAGGACTGTTTTTATAAACCCTTAAGTTGGTAATCACTTTATATCATGGCAGGGAAAAAATTAAAATAGTTTGCATTGCCTCAGTAAAATTCAGAAACCATGATTCCCTTAAAATCATGTACTATATTAACAGAAAAAGGTTTCCTTATCTGGCAGAGAAAGGTAGGATTTGAGTGTATCTCAAGTTATGAATGGAGAAAAAGAGAGATCGATTCCACCTTTAAATGCTACCTGATATGTTGAAGGAAGATCAGGGTCTATTATGTTAGGTAAATGATTCTTACTTCTAACTGATTGATATGTCTTTTGTTCTTGGGGGTTGTCATCATAGCACTTCTAAATATTAAGGAATATAGCTTTATTTTCCATAGGGGGTTTTCAGTAAGATGGCAAATACCATTTATATTTCCAAATTATTTGGAGTTTTCTTTTGCAGTATATAATTTTCTATATAGGGATAAGGCATTGAGTAGCTCCAACTCCCTTTAATAACTGTAGGAAAGGTTTCTGTCAGATCTTTCTTTTTCTTCATATTCTCCCCTCTCCCCACCTTTAAAGCACAGCAACATAACAGGTGTCGGTTTATTTTTTCCTCATGGAATCATGGGTAGTTTCATTGCAGCTCATGTCTTTCTGTTTGTTTCGTATAGGGCTGATAGTTCAGGACCATTCAGACCCCATGTTCAGTTCATATGCCTATAAGTCCCACTACCTACTGAATGAATCAAATCGTGCTGAGTTGATGAAATTACCTATGATTCCTTCTTCGTCAGCTTCCAAAAAGAAATGTGAGAAAGGTAATAATCAAAATAGTTTATCTCTTGCTTTCATTTTTGCATTTCCTATTTTTCTCTCTTTAAATTAAGGGGGGAAATGTATGCCTATCAAACACCATCTGTTGCTTCTGGTAAATTCTACCTTGGTGGTTGTGACTGTGTCTTCATATGGCTGCACAATTATTTAAAAGGGCTTAAAATAATTCCATTATTACAAATTTTTACTTACTCTTCTCCTTGAATAAATTTTCACACATTCCATGTATGTAGGTTATTGAAATAGAAAGACTAGGATTTTGTTCAATATAGAATAATATTCTAAATACTTCCTCTTTTGTCTGGTGTTAGAACTGTCATTCATGTTAGAATAGAATAGATAGAGTATAATTTGTTACTAACTTTCAACTAAATAACAAGATAGGTTATTAAAAGAAGGAAACTAAGATATTGATACTTAAAAGTTTGATTTTAGAATGTGTTCTATCATTTTGTTTCTTAAATGTTTTGTTAAGATGCTATGAAAACTAGTTGCCCCTCCCTTAGAAGTTGGTGGGAAGCTGGGGGGAAATACCCAAATACTGGATGTTGGAAGGCAGCTCAGCCGAATTGCTGATGGATGATTTATCCACAAAGAACCAAGAGCCAAATGTATATTTATATTCTCCCAGTTAGTTTAGTCTATGGAAGAAAACTTTATATTGTGTTTACTTTTCCATAGCCTACTTGTAATAAAGGAAAGAAGTGACTTAACAATAATAATATTATTTGGGGAGTTATTATCCCAGAGGGAAAAAATAAATGAGCTTGAAAGGTGAAGGCCTTTTCTTGTATACGTTCCTATTATGATCCGGGGGCCAGGTTCAGAATCTTTAAAGAAAACTTTATTCATACCTAATATACCATGTATGTACACTAGGTATATTTGAAGTGGCTTTTTTTATTATTATTTTTTTTGTTGCCTGTTTGATGTACCTTTGCTCTTTGTCAGACATCTGAAATGGCAACTAATGACTAAAAGAAAGAATAACTCGGCAAGTTGATTGGAGAGAGTATTTGCTTATTTGTTTGTTCACCATTGAAGTCAGATTATATCACCTTATTGATGATACTGCCTACTTCTAAAACGAAGATGAACATAGGTTTGACTTACTCCAAAATTAGTCTACCAAAGCATTTTAGGAAATGCTTTATTTTCCTGTTAGTACCTTTACAAAATTAGATTGATTCAATTGTTGCTTACTTTGTTTTCAGTACTAAGTATTGAACCTTGACGTGAATTGAAATTATTTTGAGCCCTCTGTTGCTTAGCTTGAACCATCTTACTTCGCTTGCATCCTAAAGTAATTTTCTTGCATAGCACTAAGGTGGATCATTCATATTTTTATTTTTTTCTATTTCCCTTGTGTATTTTAAACATCTCTACCATGATTTTCATTTATGATTCTGGCTCCTGTATTTCCTCTGAAATAAGACGTAAAATTAAGGACTATTCCAAATGTTAAAAATGGCCAGCCTGACTTTTCCACAACAGCATGAATAATCACACGTCCTCTAGAGCTGTTTGCAAAGACTGTTCCCCCTGTTGGTCAGTCCTTCCTGATGGAAGAATGAATAATCTCATTTTACTTTAAATTTATGAAAGAATTCCCTTCCTAGGCTTCGAGCACTCGGGCAGCTAATCTCTAGCTTGGAGAATTGAGCCAATTAATCCATATTGAGATCTGCAGTCAAAGGAAAAAAAATCCCGATAATTGAAGTAAAAGCTTTTAAGCAGAGGAAATATAGTAATTTAATTCATCACTGGTTGTATATGGATTTTCTTTTTGTTTTTATGTTAATCAGAAGTTTGAAAGTCCTCAGGAAGACAAGATTTTCTGGAAAATTGATAGTAAATCCTCAAAAGGTTGGAGCATGTGATTGGATAAAGTCGTATAGAGCGCTCTTAACCTTTTGCTTATGAGACTTTAAATCTTACTACACTCATGGGTTATAGACTTTATTTTCCAATTAAAAGATCAAATTTTTTGCAGTAAATGTCTTCATTATATTTCATCTTCAGTGGCTAACAGCCTCTCTGTCACTTGTTGAAATATGTATTAGAAATACCTAATCTCTCCCCCCCAAAAATCTCATATTTCTTTGCATTTAAAAATACTATTTTTTTGCCACACCTGTTTTGATCTCAACCCAGAGATCATTTTGTATATTTAAAAGGAGAGGGTTTTGATAGGGAACTTGGAAGGATCTTCTTATGTGTGGTACTTCATTCTACAGTGATAATTACTTAGTTTTATGCTATAAAGCAGTGGTTCTCAATATGAAGTCAGAAAAGACTTATGTAAACAAAGTTTTTGAGCTGTGTTTAATATTTCAGAAAATGTAACAGAATCACACATTTGTGTAAAATAAGGCTATATGAGTTTATTTGGCTATGATTTTAACAATTTAATATTATTAGTTTTATTTTGGGATCAGAATCTTGCATTGGCATTTATATCTTTGTTAATAAAAATAGGAGAAATTGTTACTTTCAAAATGCAGATTTTTTGTTGTGGATAAAATATTTGAAAGCATGTAAGTTCATGAGCAAGGAAAAGGGGATGCTTGGTGAGTGAAGAAGTTGCAGACCACTGCTGTATAGCCTCCGTCACTTTATCTTGAGGGAAATAATGATATCGTAATCACCAATTTGAGAATCTACATTCCTTTTGCTTTTTTGTATTCTTTATGGAAAGAAAAAAGTACTGATAACTGATTGGCTATTTTCATTCTTGCTGATGTTATTATAAAGGGATTTAGTTAACTGTGGCACTGGATTAAAATACAAACATAACTGTTGCTTTCTTTCTTAGCTCTGAAGGAGAAAAGAAAGTTGCTACTTATATCTTTAAAAACCTGTTCTCAAATCTACTCAGTTGAAAGATCTTATGCTTCTATTTTGTCACGTTAAGAGTTTTAGCTGCTTTCTAAACTGATACCTCAGTAGCCCTCATTTTGGAGGAGTAAAGAGTACAATAATGCTTTTGGTACTCACAAAAGCTCCGAATTCTGGCCGCCGAAACCCTGAAAAATAGCTAAATATGTTCATTTGCTATTTTAATCCATCACTATAGAAAAGACTCAATCCCTTTGTTATTTTTCCCCATTTTGAATCCAGTGATATGCTCAAAAGATAACTTTCTCCTTTTTCTTTCTTTTTCTCTTTCCTCTTTTCTCAGTTATTAAGACTGTTTATTTGTTTCAAGGTGGAAGATTGCTCTGCTGTGAATCGTGCCCAGCTTCCTTCCACCCGGAATGCCTGAGCATAGACATGCCAGAAGGCTGCTGGAATTGCAATGACTGTAAAGCTGGCAAGAAACTGCATTACAAGCAGATTGTTTGGGTCAAACTGGGAAATTACAGGCAAGTTTTTCCAAGGACAAAGAGGAAATACTCAGTCGTTGTGCAGGCAGGTTCATGATCTGGATACAAAGCAGCTAGCAGGTGGATAGGCGGAACAGCACAGACTTCCTTAAAAAAGAAAGAAAAGAAACATGTATTGAGTCTGGGTTGTTCAGGGGTTGGGAAGGTTATGTTGCTGTTGAATTTTTTTCCTTTTCTCTGGGATTGGTTGTTTGACTTTTGATTTTAAGTCTGAAAGTTATTTTATACTAATGAACTATGTATTACTAGATTTTGGAATAAAAGGTCTTACGTGGAGAGTGGAGGTGATGTTTTCTTTGTCTTAATTAGATTTATATTGATTTCTGATTTCTAATAAGATCAAGAGATTATACCCTGGCCAAAACAGCTCTTTGCCCATGAATCTAGTCCATTTTATTCTAGCCAGAAGCCCTAAACTGTATGTAAAGAGAGAGCTTTTTAGAATATAAAGAGAGAGATTATTCCAATCAGAGCCTATTTAATTCTTAAGGGAATGAAGTAGGAAGTATGTGTGATTGCCATTATTTTAATAAACCTTTCTCCTTTAAGGCATTTAACAAGCTTTCACTGAACAAATATAGCGATATATTATTAAAACTCTACATTTTGGCTGGGTGTGGTGGTTCACATCTGTAATCCTAGCACTTTGGTGGGGGACATGGGGATGGATTGCTTGAGGCCAGGAGTTCAACATTAGCCTGGGCAACACAGCAAGACCTCGTTTCTACAGAAAAAATAAGAAAAATTAGGTGGGTGTGGTGGTGCACAGCTGTAGTCCCAGCTACTCAGGAGGCTGAGGCAGGAGGATTGCTTGAGCCCAGGAGTTTGAGGTTGCAGTGAGCTGTCATGACGCCGCTGCACTCTAGCCTGGGCAACAGAGTGAGACCCTGTCCCTAAACAAATAAACAAACAAAAACTCTACATTTGAGGCATGTATTTATCATTTTACTATGAAAATAGTAACTATTCAAGATAGCACAACAAAGTTCTGCTTTTCAATCAGAATCCGAAGTAAAACATATTTCTGTAGGATTTCAAACATACTGTAATTTTTTGAGGAGGAGCTATGTTGTTTTCTGTTTCAAATATGCTGATTGCTTACCTATTTAAGTTTTGTTGTTTGTTTTTTTTTTTTAAAGACAGGGTCTCTGTCACCCAGGCTGGAGTGCAGTGGCATCATCATAGCTCACTGCAACCTCAAACTCCTGGGCTCCAGCAATCCTCCTGCCTCAGCCTCCTGAGCAGCTGGGACTACAGGCAGACACCAACACTTCTGGCTAAATTTTCTGTTTTTTGTAGAGTGCTCAGACTGATCTCGAACTCCCACCTCAGCCTCCGAAAGTGCTAGGATTGCAGGTGTAACCCACCATGCCCAGCCTACCTATTTAATTTTTTTTTACTGTTAATAAGATTTAATAAGCACTTCATGCCAGGCTCTGTTCCAAAGATTCTAAAAATGGGTTATTTCATTTAGTTTTCACAGTGCCCTCAGGAAGTAGAAGTTGACTCTTGAATACTACAGGGGTTAGGGGTACTAACCAGGCCCCTACCCCCACCACGTGCATACACTCCCCCCTCCCGTCCCCCCCCACCCCCGGCACAGCTGAAAATCCCCATATTGGCGGGGCACGGTGGCTCACACTTGTAAATCATAGCACTTTGGGAGGCAGAGCCAGGAGGATGGCTTGAGGCCAGGAGTTTGAGGCTGTCTGATCAGGACAGTGCACTCCAACCTGGGCCATAGAGCTAGGCTTTGTCTCCTTGTCACCACTTGATGTGGAATCCACTTGATTTCTCTCCTGCCTCTCCATCTGGCACTGCACGGTCCAATGCAGTAGCCACTGGCAACGTGTGACCGTTGAGCCCTTTTGTAGGCAGTCCAATTTCAGATGTGCCGTTGAGTCTGAAATAACACTCTTGTTGGGCAGGAGTGGCATGGCAGTGGTGTGGGACACACAGCATGCCCTCTACAGGGGTGCCGCTCCTTGGCCACCGCCTTCCCTCGGCCTCAGTGAGCCACACCCCAGTGCTCCCCTCTGTGGCCATCACTGGCCGTCCAAGTCTCCACCAGCCAAGCCCTTGGCAGGTGGCACCGGCCAGAGTCTCGCCTCCTATTTAATTCTTGAAACTTCATTTTTGGCTGAGATCGGGGCATTGAAGTCGAGAAGGCCTCGCATATGACAGGAACCCTCTAAGTCCTTAAAAAAAAATTCACAGTTTGAATACATAAACAATTTTATATTGTATGGCAAAAGATATCATAAAGTTTTAAAAAGCTAATGTCAAACCAGGGGTATTTGCTCTTCTGTGTTCAGTAAGAAAAGACAAATAGAAAAGGGGTAAAGAATAGGAAATAGAAAATAAACATGGAAAAACGCTCAGCCTCACTAAAAATAAATGCACAGTAAAAAGATTTTTTTTTTCAGTTAACAGATTGACAAAGATCTAAAAGATTGATAATTTTGTGTGCAGCGAGGGCGTGAGGAAATGACTGCTTCCTGCAGTGCAGTCTGCTGTCACATGTCAAAATTATAACTGCGTATATACCCTTGACTAGCGCTCTACTTCAGGAAATTTAGAGAAAAAAATTGAATAGCAGGTGAAAATGTATTTATAGGGATGTTTGTTATAGTATTATTTCTAATTGCAAAAATTTGAAATAACCCAAAAGTTCAGTCAGTCAGGGAAGGGATCTGTGAGATAAACTATAGTGTGTCCATATTGCAGAAAACCATTAAGCCAATGAAAGGATAATGCAGGTCTGTATAGTAACATGGGAAGATATCCATGATATATAATATGTTTATACAATTTGTAAAAATTGTAGCTCTAAATATAATGTTTTTAATACCTAGAAAGAAATACATCTAATGTTAATAATCTCAAGGATAAGATGACAAGGGAAAGCATTTTTACTTTTCTATTATGTATTTCTGCATTGTTTTAATTTTTAAAAAATGCACATACTGCTTTCTTTTTTTTTTTTTTTTTCAGAGCCTTACTCTGTCACCCCAGCTAGAGTGCAGTGGCATTATCCTAGCTCACTGCAGCCTCAAACTCCTGGGTTCAAGCGATCCTCCTGCCTCAGCCTCCTGAGTAGCTGAGACTACAAGCACATGTCACTTCCCCTGGCTAATATTTTTTGTTTTTGGGGTCTCACTCATGCTCAGGCTAGTCTTGAACTCCTAGCCTCAAGCGATCCTCCCACTCCAGCCTCCCAGAGTGCTACAACTACAGTCATGAGCCACTACACCTGGCCTGCTTTCGTAATTTAAAAAAACATATCTTTCCAGGGTGAGGAGAAGTGACAATTAATAAATTTAAGACATTCCTGGATAAGAAATATCTAAAACAGTGTGAGAAGCCTTCAGAGTAATTTTTTTTTAAAATTACAAATATGAAAATATCTTTAATTTAATTTGAATACTTAAATTTTAATCACATTACATTTTAAAAGAAGCCCAAAGCAGTGCTCAAGTTAAGTTCACAAACCCATTGAGATTTTATATCTAGGTCAGATTCCTCTTGTATGTTTTGGAAAGACTTCCATCCATGAACTAATTCTTAATATATTTCTTTCCAGTCAGGCCCAGGGGGCCACATGAAGCTGTTTATTTTCAATAGCTAGTTACTCCAGTGTGCTGCTTCCTGGGGGGAAATGTGAGGGCCTGGAACAACCCCTGGCAGAAAGTGTGCCTCTTCCTAACTGCCCGTGGTGAATGCAGGAGTCATGTAGATAATTTAATTACCCTAAAATGGCTTAGAAATAGAGAGAGCCTGCTTTGAGGATAAACCTCAAAGACTGATCACTTAAAATAGTGGGTTTTGTCTTGTTTTTTTAAAGCAATTCGAGCATGGATTCTTACTCATGTTTTTAATTCTTAGATGGACAGCAAGGTATCTTGCATATGATGCTTATTCAAGCTCTCTCATATAAATCTGGGGGTACAACCATGTCATTATTTATCTTCTCAACAGTACAGTTATTAGTTAAATATATGGTTTTATTAGGTATATGTAAAGAGATTAAAAAATTTAAGTTTATATTTACTGTTCATGATGCTGACCTTATGTACTACAAAAGCTCATGTGCGGCTCTCTGTAGTTGGCCTCATTTTCTGTTAGCTTCATCCTTCAGTTCCTGACTTGTCCAATTGGTAGAAATTGTCAGATTTTCTTACAGATGGCTTCATGTAGTGATTGCTGTAGTTTGCAGTTATCATAGTATGAAACAGTTGTTTTCATTCTGTCCCCTGTCCCACCTTTATTACGATCTAAAATGAATTAGATTCTGAAATACAAACTCATATAAAGTCTAGTATATTTGCCCCGGTTGACTAGGGATCCAGAAAGTGCTGATTTGAATGGGGGTGGTAATTGTTCACTATAGCATCAGTTTATTCTCAAAATAATTCCCTTGACTACTAGAAATAACACTTTTATACTTTGAAAGATAATCTTGGTATTAAGTTTGGGGAAAAACATGACTTTTCTAGGATTGAAATTGAGTTCGGAATAGCATTATAATCTAATTCTTGAGTTGGGTAGTGGGTTCAGTGTTAATTATTTTATTACACTTTATAACTTAAATTTTCATGATATACTTGCATAAATATCAAGTATTTTTTAAAGAAAAACCATTAATCAGGTGTTTAAGGCCAGTTCATTTAGTCTGTGTTCATTATTTCATTAATTTGTTAATTAATATGTTTTTAAATGATAGGTGGTTTGAGTAGATTAAAGATAAGCAAGGTTTTTTATGTTCTTAAAATGGGAATGAAAATTGCAAAATACAAAACCATTTTTTCCCTCCTGCCAACCTTGTAAATAGTGTGATTTGCCATCTTGGTCTAAAATTGCTTTTGCTTTCAGATGGTGGCCAGCAGAGATCTGCAACCCCAGGTCTGTGCCGCTGAACATCCAGGCCCTTAAACATGACCTGGGGGACTTCCCTGTGTTCTTCTTTGGTTCTCACGACTACTATTGGGTGCACCAGGGCAGAGTGTTCCCTTATGTTGAAGGAGACAAAAGCTTTGCTGAGGGACAGACTAGTATTAACAAGACCTTCAAAAAAGGTAAGTTGAGTGATGTTTACAGTGATTCAAATGTAGGACTCCAGTGTTGATTTCTCAACATCTAACTTACAAATGACGTATTTCTGGTATTAGAGAATTTTCACCAGATGTTACGATCCTGTGTCCCATAAGCATCCATCACATTAAAACCAGGTTTGAAATACGTTTCAGTATAGCAGCGACTGTGCTGTGTATGTGAAAGGAGTTTCTTCAGTGATCTTTCGTATGAACACAGATTATTCTGGGAATGGTCTTTTTAATCAAGTGAAGCTCCTTTGCCACAGAAGGGTGTAAAGGCTTTCCATGAAGAGCCTACAACTGTTTTTGCAATGAGTTGCCGCAATTTTAGCTTTCTGGGTAAAAGTAAAATGCATTTAAATCTAGTACAAAGTAAAACGCTGCTCTTTGTATCACTTGGAGGCTTCTGATCACCGAAGTGGGGGCCTCTTTCCTGTGGCAGCGTGAAGCAGAGTGTAGTGTTCAGTGAGTTACATCCTATTTCACCGTTACCCTGTCCTGATGGAAAATGGTAATTTCCAGAATATAATTTTAAAAAGAAAATCTAAGGCCAGATGGGAAGGCAGTATAAAACTACTAACAGTTTTTATTTTTGTTTTCGGTATTTATATACTCTGTTTGGTCTTATTGGCAGCCCTAGAAGAAGCTGCAAAACGTTTCCAGGAATTGAAAGCACAAAGAGAAAGTAAAGAAGCCCTAGAGATTGAAAAAAACTCAAGAAAACCCCCTCCTTACAAACACATCAAAGTAAGTCTCTACCCATGGAAACACTGGTATTTGACAGACAAGATGAAACGCATTACTGTCATAGTAGTTAAAGGCCCTTCTGACTTACGAAAACTTTTGCTAATTATCACCCAGTCTTCTGTAAAGCAAACTGAGAGCTTTTGGTGGAAGCCTCAGATGCAGCCATAGCCGCTGGGCTGTGAGGATCAGGGCCGACAGGCCCTCTGCTACCTAGGAACAACACGTCTGATAGGAGGTCCTGTTCTTCGACCAGGCTATCCTGCAACCAAATGAAAATACGGATATTTAGCCCCTTTATTGCAGAGAGCCCACAGACAAGCACATCTTCTCTTGTTTTCGGTTATGAAATTTCCGTCAGCCAGTGGAAGAAGAAATATACAGAGTCAATAAGTGAAGGTTAGGCTTTCATATTTTGGTCAACCAAGGAGAGATGGTTGTTATTCTTAGCTTAGTCATGGCGAAATTAAGATAAAGAGCCTTTCTCAGAGTCACACCACAGGGCAGTAGCATGGATGTGTTAGATGTCCCCGTTCACACTGCTAGTAGGTCGCTTACCGCCTGCCTCCGTCTCATTTGTGATTGTGTTTTCTAGGCTAACAAAGTAATCGGAAAGGTTCAGATCCAGGTTGCCGACCTGTCGGAGATCCCCCGCTGTAACTGCAAGCCGGCCGACGAAAACCCTTGCGGCCTGGAATCAGAGTGCCTGAACAGAATGCTGCAGTACGAGTGCCACCCGCAGGTGTGCCCCGCTGGAGACCGATGTCAGAACCAGTGCTTCACAAAGAGGCTCTACCCTGACGCAGAGATCATCAAAACTGAGCGAAGAGGCTGGGGCCTCAGGACCAAAAGGAGCATTAAGAAGGTAGCATGGGACAGGGGCGGGCGGAAGCAGCCAGAACCTGTGCTGCTCTGAACCTGGGACGCTTCAATAGGTTACAGTTGTAGGGAGAAAATAAACAGGGATTTATGACAAAGTTTTGAAACTTCCCATGTTGAGAGTTTGGCACTACTCGAGCAAAGAAGAAGTGGTAAGAAGAGGATAGCAATAAAACTATTGCTACATAAACTTGGAGTGTCCTATGATCAGTCATAAAGAGGAGAAGGAACATTGGTAATTTTCTATGTGAAATATTTTTTACTTGTTAAGCAAAATGATTTAAAAGTCTTCATAAAAGGAAAATAGTAAAGTTAAGAATATACTGGGATAGAAACTGGCAAACCTGGGACTTTGCTCATGTCATAATTCATCAGCCATGAAACGACGGCCAAGTCACTTAACTTCCCGAGCCTCAGTTTCCTTGTCTCTAAAATGGACGTAATAATATTTTCTGCCCTACATATTTAAAGGTTGTCACAGATCTTGAATTTGATTATATATGCAAAAGCAATTGGAAAAAGTTGATATCTTTAACACTTATAAATTATTTTCATTTTTATACTCTCAATTTCTCAAGGCAGTCTCTTTGTTTAACACAAGAAGCGCATGCCCATTATATAAAACTTTTTAAATGCAAATAAAGAAAAATGAAAATCACCAGTAAATCCTGCTATTCAAACAATGGCTCTCAAATTTTAGAGTGCCTGAGAATCTCCCAGGGTCCTTGTTGAAAATAGTGCCTTACTGAATTAGAGTATCTGGTATGAGTCTGGAATAATCTGCATTTTAAAATAACCCCCCAATCCTACCTCACACCCCTGCCCCTGCTTGCCTAGAGCCATCTGCCAGACTTGAGGTGTACTCACTGACAGAAAGAAGGTGGACCTAGTGGGAATTTAAAATTGCTCTTGCCATTTTTCTACCTTTCTAAAAATCACCTTTGTAATTAAAAAAATCCCATCTAATGTAGTAAAGAAAGGTTATACAATACAAAAAAGACAGTAGAGTGAAATTCCTCCTTCATCCCTGCAATTCCTGGTCTCCTCACCAGAAATAACCGTTGTTAATAGTTTGATATGAAATGAAATAGAATAAATTAAAAAATAGTTTGATATGTAGCCTTTTAGAACTTTTTCTATACAGTTATAAACATAAACATGTACACATACACATTCATACATCCTATATTCGTAGGGTTTCTAAACATAAACATGATCATAATACTCTCTTCTCATTTAAATATTGTATCACAAATACATTCCTGTGGCAGTTCATATAGATTTCACCTCATTCTTTTTAACAGTCTCATCGTAGTCCACAGCAAAATGTGCTATAATTTATTTAACCTATTCCCCAATAAATATATACATATATTTTTAAATTCTATAAGGAACACTCTTTGTCATCTATTTTGTGCACCTATTTCTAGAGGTAAGATTCTTGAAGTGGAGCTCATTCATCTAGTGCGAATTTGTTAAGCTGCTTCTGTGTGCCAGGCACCATCCTAGGCACTTGAAAAACAGCAGTGAACAAAACCCGCGAAGCCCGCACCTTCGTGGATCTGCTGGAGGAGACAGACAATAAGCAGATTGGCGGTGCTGAGTGCCACCACCTGCTGCGAAGGCAAAGCCAGGCAAGGGGACAGCTGCTGACAGAGATTGCTCTCTTAAATTGATTGCCCGAGGGAGGCCTGAGGCGGCCACATTTGACCGAGCCATGTGAAGTAGCAAAGCCGTGCAGGGACAGACGGGAGACGACTGTCAGACTGAAGGGAAAGCAAGGAAAGGCCTGGCTGGCTCCTGAATAGCAAGAGAGCCGGCACACCTGGGGAGGAGTGACAGGAGAGAACAGTTAGGAGATGAGGCGAGGAGGGTAGCCAGCCAGGGACTAGATCCAGGGGCGCCTTATGGGCCATGGGGCAGGAAACTTCTGGAAGATTTTGGTAGGGAGTGACTCGATCTGACTTGGTGTATTAGTTTTCTCTTGTTGCGTAACAATATTACCACAAAGTTAGCAACTTAAAACGTGACACGTTTTGTTGTCTCACAGTTTGCGCGGGTCAGGAGTCCAGGCCATGCCTAACGGGTCCTCTACTTAGGGTCTCACAAGGCCACCGCCAAGGCGTAGACCGGGGCTGGGTTCGCCTCTCTTGACCTGACTAGGGAAGGATCCCCTCCCCTGCTTGCGTGGCTATCGGCAGAACTCCGTGCTTCGTCACCATAGGTCTGAGAGCTTCGGGTTGTTTTGGTCGTGGGTGTTTCTTCTTGCTGTTGGCCAGGAGCTGCTCTCAGCTTCTAGAGGCTGCCACAGTTCCTCGCCACGTGGGTCCTCAGCACGACCACTCGTTTCCTTACCGTCAACAGGAGAGGCACTGCAGCAAGACAGACACCGAGGTCTTACGTAATACACACACATGATCACACGCGTCCCGCCACCTTTGCCATATTCTGTTGGATAGAAGCACATCACAGGTCCCGCCCAGGCTCAGAGGGAGGGGATCACACAATAGCATGGACACTGGAAGGCTGGGACCACAGGGGCCACCTCGAGAGTCTGTCTGCACACTTGGGTTTCCAAGGATAACTTTGGCTGTAGCATGGGATTTATGATAAGAGAGAAGGACTTATAAAAAGGGGAGACCGTTGGAGTAGTCCAGAAGAGAGGAGGAGGTGGTGGTGTGGGACCCCTAGGGCTATAAACTGAGGCAGCAGAGAAGTGGTCGGGGCTCTGATGTTTTGAAGGCAGAACCAACAGGACATGCTGATCATTGGATATGTGGTTGGGTTGCTTGGTCAAAGGCCAGCTACATTTAAAATGTTATTATATAATGGAAAAAATTTTATATTACTGTTTTTTGAGGCAGGGTCTCACTCTGTCATCTA